CCCCAAAACCCCAAAACCCCAAAACCCCAAAACCCCAAAACCCCAAAACCCCAAGCCTTATTAATAATAAATTAAATTACTCAAGATGGATAAGGATAAGGAAGAAACTAAGGTAAGCCTTCAGTTCAGGACTTCTTGAGCTGTGATAATCTCACTAATGGTACTGGGCTAATTCCCGACTTGAAGGATAGTTTAGAAAACTTAGAATAATTTTTTCTTGACAAGAATTTTAAGAGAAGCATCAGCTCTAAAGATCAAGAGAAGCAACTTGATTTATTTTCGCTCATGAAAACTTCGTAAATAAGCTATTTCGAGTTTAATAATTGAACCCCAACTCTACATTGCTGTGGAAAGATCTCAGGAGTGGCTAAGAATAAATTCAGGAGTATAAATCACCAAGTTATTTACCTCAATTTTTCAATGCGCTCTGTATATCATTTCTGAGAGAATATCTCATGGGCTATCAGTTAGTGCAGAAATTAGTTAAATACATGAAAATACATCTTTCTCCACCAAAACGTGAGCATCATCATTTCACTGCTTCGTAAAAGATATAATGAGGTTCTTGAGTTTGGACCCAAATTGTAGTCTAGATTTGTAGGAGCTTTCATAATTTCATATATCCACAAATTCCTTATATCTCTGCAACCCAAAATGTCCATTTGGAAGCTAGCTTTAGTTTCACTCAAAAATTATGACGAAGGTAGACCAGAATGAATGCATTTTGTTAATAAACTTGCTAAATCATTGCTTCATCGAAGAAGAAAGCTCTAAGTCCTTCATCGCTCCTTTTGGCACAGGCAAGATTAACTTTCCCCATAGGAAGAAACAAAGGAAGAGCAAGAAGAAGGTGAAGATGATGAAGAAATAGTCCTAGTCAAGAACTTCGAAAATCCAATCAACAAAGTCAAGTATAATCATTACATGGTGTATGGTACCGAGTTCATTGTTGAGGAAAAATATATTGTAAAAGAGCCAGCAGGATCAGGAGCATATGGAACAGTCGTCATTGCTGATGACAACTCCAAGGATATCCAAGTAGCTATCAAGAAGATTGAGAGAGCCTTTGAGCATAAGCTCTTCACGAAGAGGACTCTCAGGGAGCTCAAAATCCTCAGACTGCTCAACCACGAAAATGTTGTCAAGCTCATTACCATTCAAAAGCCAGATGATGCAAAGAAATTTGAAGAAATTTATGCTGTAATGGAAGTTATGGAGACGGATCTTGGATCCATTATCAAGTCTTCCCAGGATTTATCCATCCAACATATCCAGTTTTTCCTGTACCAAGTCTTGAGAGGAATGAAATACGTTCATAGTGCCGGAATTTTGCACAGAGATCTGAAACCAAGAAACTTGCTAGTAAATAGTAACTGTGATCTCAAAATATGCGACTTCGGCCTAGCAAGAGCTGATATCCCCGAACTCTACGAAGCAGGAGCAATGACCGATTATATTTCTACAAGATGGTATAGAGCTCCAGAGTTGCTCCTAGGAAGTGAGGATTACAACGAATCTGTTGATATGTGGTCAATTGGGTGCATATTTGCAGAAATGTTACTTAGAAAACCACTACTACCCGGACAAGATTCTGAAAATCAATTAGAACTTATCGTCGGCCTCATGGGCCTGCCAGATAAATAAATTCATTGCTAATTATAGTGGAGGAAGGCTCTCAGAAGTCTTCAAAAGCATGTCCCTAGAAGGCAAAGATAAGGGTGAATTCAGCAATGTTTTCAAAGGAGTTGAGGAAAGAGAAGCCCTCAGTCTTCTCAAGAAGATGCTAAGATATGACCCAAAGAAAAGATGAACAATAGAGAAAGCTTTGAAGCATCCTTTCTTAGCAGATTTGCATTACGCACCAGATGAGCCTACTGCTAATCCAGTTTCTCCATTCGATTTCGATTTTGAAAAGTATGATCTGTCTATCGAGGAGCAGAAAGAGTTGATCTATGAAGAAATACTTCTGTACCATTCCTCTAAAGCCCAGAAGAAGTATATTGCAAATAGGAATAAGTACCCAGAAGGAATTCTCCACCTTAAATATGGTTCCTAATAATGTTCAAAAGTATCACATTTTTCCTCATCCATCTTCAAATAATCGCATTCATACAATTTGAAAACCTAGAGGGTCCTAAATTTGAAACTATTTTACCAGAGGATCTCAAATCTACCCTATTTTTATTCCTTTTACCATGTTCAACCATATTAATAATATTCGGGGTTTTGGGGTTTTGGGGTTTTGGGGTTTTGGGG